CAAGGAGAGGTGTCCGGGTAACCGTGGCCACCTGGATGTGGAGCCTTTACCTGCTGGCCGGGCTTAATGGGTGAGAGTGTGATGCCCTGCGTGTTGATCACTGGCAGGATCTGGTTTCCGATGACCGTGGCGATGATCTGGCCCTGGGCGTTTGTCAGGAGCTGGGGTGTGATTGCTTGCACTTGCAGGCCCTGAGTGCTGCCCACTGCCTGGCTCGAGGGCCCCGGATTCGGCATCAGAGGAATGGTCCCAATAATCTGCAAGAGATGAGCCCAAAGGTGAGGTGCCAGGCTCTGCTTGGGGTCTGCATCTAAAGAACACTCCTCCCTGGTCTCTGTAGGAGGCTCCTTGGGAGCCAGCTCAGGAGCTGTGAACAGACCTGGGGATGCGCGTGTGAAAGAAAGTGGCAGAGGATGGGCATCTGAAGGAGAGACAGGCACACACAGACCGAAGAGGAAAACAGTTAAAAATAAAAGCAAGCATCAGTGATGGCAGAAATGTCATTTCTCCCAGGGCAGCACAGGCATCTGCTTTGTCTCAGAACCAGAGAGAGGGCCGACTTCTCTTGGCACTCATGTGCGTCTCCAGCTGGGGAGCCACACCCCTTCACTCACCAACATCCTCAAACATGACGTCCCTACATCCTTTCCTCTGCCTCCATTCTGCTGCTCTCTCTCCTTCCCTCCATCCCTCACCGACATCCTGCTCCCCTCTCAAAGTCAGGGGTGGGCTGGCCTGACACCCCAGCAGGTAGGGGCCTCAGCACCCTGGCACTCCTGGTTGAGAGCCTAGGTCCTGGAGTCAGGGAGACTGTTAGAGACAAACTTAATCTGTCACAAATGAGAATGTGATCTATGTTTCCAATGTGTGGACTCTCCTAGGGGCATGTTGGAGCTCAGTGTTTGTTACCCATGCCACGGCATGGTTAAGAGCTCTGCTCTGCCAGGGATCTGCCAGGGCCACCTGCCACATGAGCATTGTGGTGACATGGCCTGGGGACCACCAAAACAAATTAGTAATGCTCTTTCAGGAAGTGCGTCCGTGTGTATGACTTCATTTCATTCCATGTTCTTACAACAGCTCTGAGAAGTGGGCATCAGTCCCATCCTGCTCAATAGGTAAGACAAGGGTGGCTCTGCTCTGTGCTGCTGGAGAAATTTTTAAGTGACAGACCGAGCTGGAGCTGGCGTCAAGGTTTGGCTGACTCCCAAAAGCTTGCTTTTCTATTGTCACCTGGCTCCCATCACATGGAGAACATTGGAGGGGACCGGCTCTTAGAAAAAGCACTGTGTTCTGTCTGCAGTTTCCCACCAGACAACAAGCTGCTTGTGGACTGAGTTTATACCTGAATGATTTCATTTTCTATCCCCACCGTACCCCAAACTATGTTTTAAAAAACATAGTTTCTCAGTAAATGCTTTTAAATGAATGACTTCTAGACTCAGCTGTCACTGGGATTCTAGATGCATCTGGGACCACAGGAGAACCACAAGACCACACCATTTAGTGACAAAGATCGTGACAGGGACATTGTCCCTCTTCCCCGTCCTCATTTGGCCATCGCTTCTAGCACAAAAAGGCCCTGTGGGATGGCACTAATGGAGGAGCTGTGAGAATATCAGGTATCAATGGCAGTTGTCAATGGATGCCGATAAAGGTCAAGTAATTATTGCGAGAGTGGTCACAGTCCCTCAGGGAGTCTGCCGCTCCTCAGACTCACTGAGCAAGATGGGGATGTCCGTCTTGCAGCCTCAGCGATAAGCATGTCCCATCAGTGCCAGCAAGGTCAGGAGGAGTCCACATCAATAGATCAGAGTGCATAAGTACTTTATTGATGAGTGTTCTTGCATTAAGCAGCTCAGTATCCAAAGGCGGTCCTTATGTCCCCACAGGCCATGTGGAGAGGCCTGGGGAGCAGGGTCCTTGTTCTGCACCCATGCTGGATACTTGCCCTCTCCACATTTGCACTGTGAACTGTACAGTCTGCCTTTCTACAATGCCCCATGACAACTTTGTGGCTAACCCATCCGCTCTGGCTTCCCTGAGTCACAGGCTTGAGAAACCCCACTCCATCTGATTGGCCTGAGTCGAAGCTGGGTTCCTTTAGGTGGCAGGGGTGTGGGTTCTATTTTCCGCAGGATATCAGTGCATTTAGGAGCCGAGAGAGGCACAGCACCTGACAGCTATAGAACACACTGTGATGCAGAGCGGTGTTCTGCTCTGAGAAGATTGACAAGAGTCTGTGCTCGCTTGTGTAATGAGATGCTCTGTCTGCTCTCTGGGTGAAAAGAAGAAAAAAAATGAATGCAAACGTCTCACAAGCCTTTTCCCTGCGTGCAACCTCGTTTCCACACACTGCGCTGTGACATTACTAAAACATGGCGTCACTTAGGTCCCTCTCACTTGCTCCTTCTTCTTTCTTAAGCCCTAGCATCACTTACTAAGGGTAGGACAGAACCAGTGTCAGAGCCAGGTGGATCTGGGATGGCATGACTGAAGGAACCTTTTAATAAGGAGAGTTTGCCGGGGTCGGGGCAGGGGCCATTCTAGTCAGGAAGCACTCTCTGAAGTTATGCATTTCTCATTCTTGTTCCTCTTTCAGAGGAGCTGGAATTACTATCTCAGCACTCTGGCAAATTTCCTAATACCCTCCAATGTATTACAACATAATGATTTTAATTTGCTCCCGTTCATCAAAGGGTAGAGATGATTGCACGCTATTATCTAAAAATTATCCGATGGGCCTATTGTGCTTATGCTAGTTCCCGTTCTTCTCAGCACTTCCATAGGTCTCACCAAAACTCCTCCTCAGGCTCTGATTTCAAAGATTGAAACAAGAAAACTAGATGAGCCGAGGCAGCCAAGGTGCGAGACTCTTGCCATTAGTGAAAAGTTGGCAATTTTACCTTTGGAAGTTGTATTTTAAATTAAAAGCCTTTTGCTATCAAGGGCAGTATTTACATTGACACATATTTTAACTACATCAGGAAATTAAAATTAAATTTTGACATCGGGGAAACTCTGACTTGAGGGCAAAGATAGAAAGAGGATGCTTTTGAGACACTCATGGTCCTGGAACTAGCTTTTGGAGTTTGAGTTTCTGGCTCTCAGAACTAAAGATTTACTGATAAGAGAAGTCAGTGGAAGGACATGTCACTGAGCAAAAATGGCCACTAAGCTCAAGGCATAAACTGCTCAAAGCAAATTCCAGCTCTGCTAAAACACTGAGGACTCTGGCAGAGCAGCCTAGCACCTGCATGCCCTGCTTTATGTAAGGCGTCATGTGCCATGGGGACACCAGAAGATGTTACTAGGGCAGGGGAGGCAGGTGATAAGACAGGCATATGACATGCAGATTCTAACAATCTGACAGAGAAGTGCTATGCACCAAATGCAAGGCAAGGACTAGTTGAAAAGAATCTCTGTACCCACATGGTGGATGCTCAAAACAATATTGGGAATGAATGAAAGAAGGAAAGGTAGGGATAAGAGGGAAGGCTTCACAGAAGAAATGGGGGCAGAGCAGAGTCTTGGAGGCTGGGTGGGATTTGGTGAAGCAGAGAAACCATTCCAAACAAGACTCTAGCCTGGAGATGAGAAACATGGATGCAACAGAGGGTGGGGACAGCAGAGCAATGACAGGTCAGTATGGAAGGGTCGACTTCCATCCAGGCAAAGGGTTTTGATGAATGGTTTTCTTTTGGGTAGGGGTGTGGGGTTAGGAGGAATGCTGAATAGGAGCTATTTCCAGTGTGAATGTGATAGTGTGATAAAATAGACTGAAGTGGTGGGAAACTGCAGACAAGGAGCTTGGTCACTGGGATGCTGTTGCAGTCTTCCAAGTGGGAAGGGAATGCCTCAGTGAATCCTTGGCATAGGGGATGCCTGACTGGTTCACTTCCTCTTCAGTTCAAAAAGCATGGCCTATTTTATGCTTAGGTTGCAACATTAGAAATTTTTGAGTAAGGTTATTGACCCATCAATTCCACAGTAAATAGCTCAGGCATCATTTGCAATGATCCTGTATATCTTTGCCCTGACTATAACAGTAATGATTCATCTCTGATGAATGCTTTAAGCAGGCCAAGACTCATATTGGGACTGTAAATGATAATTTGTGACCTAAAAGCGTTCCGGCCTCTCTGACAGGGGACTTATTTGGTTGTTGCTGTTCATGTTCACCTGTTTGTTTCCGTAGAGGAGTTAAGGGCATAAACCACCAATGAGAAGTAAATCCATGTTGCAAGAGCAACGAAAAAATTGTTAAATGACTACTAGAGCTCATTAGCACATGTATCTCTATTTCCATAAGAATTTGGGAGGCTTACACATAAATGTGACTATCATTAATGCAGCAGCAATTATAATTTTAGCTATCATAAAGATTATCTAGCAATTGTAGCAAACCCCAATGATTCAGGGCCATGTAAGTCTTTTAGGTCACCAAGTTATCATTACAATGCCCTTACGGACCTTGGTCTAGTTGAGGTACTCAGTAGGGATGAATTATGAGTGATGGAAGGTAGTGTGAGCTGAATTTATTCACTGCCAACATGTAGGTGTCATCAGCAGCATTTGAAGGTAGTATCACAGAAGCCCAGAGCATTCAGACAAGTTGTCTGATGGACCACGTGTCGGAAGAGTCTGTGTGACATGCTGTTAAACTCTGCTATGGAGAATGTGATTGCAGATGTCAAATTGACAAGTAATTTTGTTGCATGTATCTTTAAGAAAAAACCCCCACTAATGCTGTAAATCGGTGACTACCTCAGGTCTTTCAATCCATCAACAGAGGCAATTCTTTGCCAAATACTTGTGTAACCTCAGCACTTTTTGGTCAAGAGGCTTTTGTTAACATTAGCATCACTCTTTCCATTCTTGAACAAAGAGCTTATAGCATTTGAGAAGCAAGGAGCCAGTGGTGAGTGATCACCAGAATGGAAACAGCCAATCACCCTGTTGGGTCGTATCCACTTTTCTCTCTTCCTCCAAGGGATGATTTCATCTTCTTTATATAACATATTCATTTTAGTCTCACTGTGCTCCAAGATTTAAGGTTAAACTCACTTTAGAGTTATTTCGGCAGCTCTTTAGAGTTATTTCTTTTTTTTTTTTTTAGATTTTTTTTTTAAATTGGGGAATTGGGGGGATGGGAACAGTGCTGGGGAATTGGGGGGAAGGGGAACAGACAAGTTGCTGTTGTTTTTGTTCTTCAGTCTAGTTGTGGAGGACGTTGCTTCACTGGCCCAAGTTGGCA